TCTGTAGTTGGCCAATTTGGATTTCCAGCATCAGGCCTCAGTCTTCCTGAACTCCATAATGGAACCCAAGGGAAGGGATAGTGTTCTGTGCCTACGTGTCCTGACATATTTATATGATGGAATTTCCAGTATCATTCCTTAATTTATAGCCTGGTATGGAGTGAAAAATCTTGTATTGTATCTGGAACCAAATAGATACAGGGAGGTAGTGACAAAATAAAACTACTAAACACCTACTCCTCAGGGGAGTTGCTAAATGTTCCTGGAAGGAACTATTACAGTACACCAATTCTTTGATACAACATGATAAAATGGACAAACAATGAAAATTAAACAAACAAAAGTAGGTACTTACATTTATAAAGCTTCCCTATGGCATAGCGTGTGGCGTGACAGGCAAATAGTCACGCTGGAACCTGATAACCCACGCTAGACATTCAAACAATGCAGCGAAAAGGCGCATGTTCTGTAACGTCAACTGGGGCATAGGGATTAAACATTGATATTTACTTTGAATGAAGCCTTTTGAAATTAAAAAAAATAGGCTGAGTGAAAAAATATGAATAACATCAGAAATGAGATTTGATGTCGAGCTTCAGCCTTAATGATGTGTTTCAATCCTAATTAAATACAGTGCATTTCATGGGGATACATTTCAGTAAACCAGTTTAAGGTAAAATGTATAGGATGAATAATAAACCTTAGGGTAAAAAAGTGACTTATTTGTATTCCAATTAAAAGTAATACCAGGGAAACCATGAACATCTTGAGTGTTGAGTTGTTCAATATGATCAGCTGACATTTTGGAACTGCTTATTCCATTCTCAGAGGTTTAACATACCTAACTGTGAGTGTATCTGAAGAAGTGAAAGGCTGATTGTGCATAGGCTAATGTGACATCGCGATCTCTTGCCCCTGAGCCACTTTGTTAACGCTGGTGTCTATACCTCATTTTCAAAGGGCAATGTTGGTTATAGAATGTTTGTGTTGGTATTTAATTAGGCTCAGCTTCCTTGGTTTAAGGTTTTCTAAACAGGAGACCCTGGCAGGCATATTACGTAGTTGCTCTTTCTAGGCTCAGTCATAAAATAGGAACAATCATGGACACAAATCATTGTCTTGTGTGTTTAATTATGGCTTGGACTGTATGGTGTATTTAATTGTTTTTTTCTAAAATTAAGAGTATTTGGGATTGTCTTGCAGGGATATGCACAATAAAAAAATTATTTTAGAATGTAGCTTTTAGTTTTTTGACTGTTTTGATGAGTTCAACATTGTATGTTTAATTTGTAAATAATTTGAAAATATTGCCTGTTTCAATATACTAGTATCTTAGTACTGTATAGCACTGTATGCTTTCTAGACTGCTTTATTTATTTGTTAAATTTAATGTACAATCAGCTACAGTTCCACCTAGTACAGTGGTTGGCACATTTCTTGAGGTGCGGCACTCTGTCGTTGTTTACATCATAGTGAAACTCCCGAAATGGGCCTAAGGAACCTCACAATAGTAACCAGATTCTTACAGACACTGAACTTGGTATTACTTAAAACCAAATATAAAATATCAATATAACTAAACTTGACGATATACATATTGTTGCACCTGTCCCCTACCCGGCGAAGAGAACTCTCCACCCTTCCCTCTCCTTAAGTCACACCACCACCATCATCTACCAATGATGTTTTATTTTGTAACCTGTATTAAAACTACAGTGAACCCTCACTTTATGTGGTCAATTGAACCCACGGAGACGCGTAAAGTGAACTGCATAACATATGGGATTAATTGAAATAGAGACCAGGCTGACCCCCAAACTCCAAAAGTGAACAACATAACATACGGGATTAATTGAAATAGAGACCAGGCCGACCCCCAAACTCCACTTTTTCCGACACAATACCTATGTTCTAGTAAAAATAACATCTTAATTTTATGATGGTACAAGCACACAATTAATATTTAAGAGAAATAGAGAAATACAGTTGCCAAGTTAATGTCCATTCAAATAATGGACTCAACTCCCTCCCCCTGTTCTCACACTAGCTGGCTCTTCCCTCTCTGAGAAATGTTTGGGGGAAAACACTAGATTTTAAGGTATAGTAATAAATAAAACCTCAAACTAAAGTTAGGATAATATAATTGACATTGCTGGATTCCTTGTAAGACCAGGAATATTTTGAATATAAATGTCATATATTTTGCACAAAAGATAACATATTTACTCAGAGTAAACAAAATACTTACATTAGATCTAAAATTTGTATGTCTAATGCAAAATCTATGATGTTTATATTCAAAATGATCATCAGATTGTAACAATTCCAGCAATGTAAATTATATTCTGGTTGGGTAATTTGTATGAATTTTATGAGCTAAAACAAATATCTTCAGTTAATAAAAAAAAATATTCTTCACGACACTATCTGTCAATCAAAATACCCCACCTTGCCTCCCCCCCTCTTCCCACCACGCCAGCTAGGTCAGTCGGTCCCTCCCTCCCCCCCACCCCCCACCTTCCCACCCTACCAAAGAAATGTTTGGGAGAAACCAGAATATTTACCATTTTAGTAATAAATAATACCTCATACTAAAGTTAGGATAATATAGTTCACATTGCTGGATTCCTTGCAAGACCAGGAATATTTTGAATATACACGTCATATATTTTGCACAAAAGATAACATATTTGCTCTGAGTAAACAAAATACTTGCATTAGATTTGAAATTTGTATGTCTAATGCAAAATCTATGATGCTTATATTCAAAATGATCATCAAATTGTAAGAATTCCAGCAATGTAAATTATATTCTGGCCGAGTAATTTGTATGAATTTTATGAGCTAAATAAAAAAATAATACTTCACCCGCATATATGAGTAGATGCACTGCGTAAAGTGGGAATTCCGGTTCTGGCAGGGTACCGCGTAAATGTAGAAACTAAATGAATGTAGAAACGATGAAACCATGAAACCGAGTAAAGTTGTTCACTGTATATATAACCATACAAGAAATGCTTGCATTCAGAGATAGAATCCTTATTTAGCATCTTTAGTCTGACTACTATTGTGAGGTTCCTAAGGGCCATTCTGGAATTTTTACTAAGATGTAAACAAAGACAAAAGTGCCACCTTACAGAATGTGCCAACCACTGAACCAGGTGGAACTGTAGCTGAATGTACAAATTATGGTGTGATATATATATATATATATATATATATATATATATATATATATATATATATATATATATATATATATATATATATATATATATATATATATATATATATATATATATATATATATATATATATATACATATATATATATATATATATATATATATATATATATATATATATATATATATATATCGTATATATATATATTTTTTTTCTTCTTGATAAAATCACATGGGAAAAGGGAAACAACGGAGCACCTTAGCTTTCTTCTTCATTCAAGACATCTTCAGAGGCCTCTGAAGATGTCTTGAATAAAGACGAAAGCTAAGGTGCTCCGTTGTTTCCCTTTTCCCGTGTGATTTTATCAAGATTTATCTTATCCACGTTTTCATTGTGGATCTACATGAAATATATATATACAGTCAACCCTCGCTTTACGCGGTCCCACATTCCGCGTTTCCATGTTTACCCGGTACCCTGCCGAAACCGGAATGCTCACATTCCGCGGTGCATGTACCCCTTTACGCGGAGAGCGGCTGGCGAGCCGCGCCATTTTTGGATCCAAACCTCCCGCCATCCGCCATGTTGTGTAAGCGGTGCGAGCAGGGTGCGCACAAGGTCCCCCAGTCATCAAAACATTACGGAGTTCTTCACCCGCCACCCACCACAGCCGGCCCAAGTCAGTGATAGTGATAATTATAGTGAGGATATGGACTTATATGGACTTTGAGGGGTTTGACAAAGAGGTCCTGCAAGCCTCTGTGGTGGATAGTGATACAATTGATACAAGTGATACAGGTGAGGGCCAATAATCTGCCCTCTGCCTCGGAACCAACCCCCCATCCCCGTGTGCCCAGCCATCTTTCTACTAATGTAAGTGTTAAAAAACCTAATATTATTGATATTTCTCTTAATTATTAATTGTGTGTGCATACCATCATAAAATTAAGAAGTTATTTTTACTACAACGTAGGTATTGTGTCTGAAAAAGTGGAGTTTGGGGTTCGGCCCGGTCTCTTTTTCAATTAATCCCATATGTTATGTTGTTCACTTTACGCGTTTCTCACTTTCCGCAGTACCCTGTGGGTTGAATTAACCGCGTAAAGTGAGGGTTCACTGTATATATATATATACTGTATGTCAGATGGTTTTGTAACTACTGTACACCAGTGCACAAAATGTGGAGGATGTTTGGGGAAAAGCTCAGTTGAGTATAAAATTTTGTCTGTAAAGTAAAGCCTTTTGAAGAATTTTTTTTTCTCCCATGACAAATGCAGTGGGCTTATTGAATTGCACCCTCCATCTGTATGTCTGGACTTTCAAACAACCCGTCTAAGTTTTTCATTGAATCAAAAAGTAAATTAGCTAGGTACAAATAAATTTTGTAGGGCTTTGGTATGTAGCTATGATTGGAATACATACCAGATTTGATTATCAGCTGGTTAATTTTTTTTTTTTACCAATACTTCAGTTTTTATCAATAAGTGTCTTAAATAGTTAGCTCCAATGAAATCTTATTGACTATTGTATGTAGGTGTTTCCAGATGGCTGATATGTAAAACATCGTAAACTTGTTACTACTTGTATTCACAAATAAGGTATTTGAATGCATATTTTTTATTTCTTAGCCTTAGAAGCAATAATAGGAGAAACCACTGTTTGTGAATGAAGGTTGCATTGAAAGTTATTTAGTAACTGTGAATAACACTCAATATTTGTCTTAGATATTACTGTATGTTTACAACCTTGCTATCAGAATATGGGAACGACATGTTGTGTGCCATGAGAGTAATGTGTGGAATCTTCTCTTGCAGGTGTTGTGAAGGTCACAGGAAAGAGAAGAGACAAAAAGGAGAGGAGAGAGATGATCGGAACATTCCACATAATCACTCTGAGAGAATGGAATTCATGTATACTGTATTGCATATCTTCTTGGAGGAGCTTAATAAGATGTGATGAAATCTTTTCAGCTAAATTGTTTGCAGACCCCAGTAACTTATTTGTCAAATTAAATTAAAATTGTCATTGAAATGTCATAAAAGAAGAGATGTAACTGCGCTTATCTTCATAATGCAGATTCATTGATTTTCATTTAAAGGGAAAACTTTTTCCACAAATGTATACTGTAATGGATTTCTGTGAACATATTATTTTCTTGGTAACTGATAGAACATAAGAAAAAAATCATAAGTTAATTGTACCTTGAAATGAGATGTTGCCCTCTACTTCATCTCCAGTAGAGTCTGCTCCGACCCCATTATCCCTCACTGACAATCTTACTTGCCAGCATCAACATTTAGGTCACACAAAAGCAAGGCAGGTGGCAGATGTATCAAGGGCAAAATACCAGATATCATCCAAAGTGGATTTTGGGATGTGTGGTGTAGATGTAAGTCGTCATGAGAGGGGGAATATGATGCCTCCTCCAGATTTGTGTGCTAGAGAAGGACAGAACTGTGGTGAACTACAGAGACGGAGTAGTAGATCTTGTGATGTAGATACAGAGGCTACTATTGCTCAAGCATCCTGTGATACCAAATTTGTAACAGGTATGTCACAAAGTGGGGATGAGAGGGAAGACACAATGGAGGAAGGTGCTTGGGGTCTTCCTCCTCACTCATTTGAAGACTCCTCAGAGGGAATAGAAGGTTCTTTGGAGGAGTATGTAGCAGTCAGTACCAAGGCTAGTTTACCTGACCTATGTGATACTAGTAGTGGCACGCGCAGCAGAGTGCCTCTTGACAGTGGCCTAGGAAATGACTGTGGTCAAGATCCAGAGTGTAACTCATTATCCCCTGTGTCTGGGGATGAGCATTGTGTGGGCACTGTTGAAAAAACATCTTCAGAGTCTCAGAGGGATAATTTATGCACAGATGAGAATGGGGAGATGGCAGAAGGATTTGTTTGTTCTAATGTGAATATTGATGCCAGCGAAACAGTGAATAAATGCAGTGAGAATAGAATGAATGAAATAAATTCAGCAGTTGATAATGCTGATGGTAGTGTCTTAAGTTGTGAACCTGTTGGTGAGGAGGCTGATAATTTTGTAAAGGAAGGAGAAAAATCTGATGTGAGTGATGACAGTAGTGGACTAGAAATGAGGAACACTACTGAAGACACTGATGCCAGTCTTAAAGAGTCTTATGAACCAGAAAGGTCATCTGGTCCAAAGGAAGACTATCTCATTCATGACAACCAACAGATATCTTTAGTGGCATGTGGTGTAACCCACTGTGATCCTAGTTTTGAAAAGGATATTGAAATGGCTGATCTCACTGAAGATGAAGAAGGTGTTAATTTAATCAGGCACAATCTGCACCACTCCAGCCACCCAATGTTCAATAAATGGCCATGCTACTTCTACATAACTCAAGAGCATCTACCCAGCTTCTCCATAGATTCTCATGGAAGACATATTGGATCTGTAAGGTTCTATCTTTATTTATACTATTGTAGTTTAGTTTATTATTAGTGTTTAGTGAAAATTGCATTGAAATTCTCTCTTTATAATGCTATGCCAATTGCAGTTACTGTATTTAATGACAAGTTAGTGAATTATTGTTTTTTATTGTACGTATGTGTAGGCCTACGGTACAATAAATAATACAGGGTGCTTTAAAAGTACAGTGAACCCTTGAAGATCCGGACTAACAAGGGGGGGGGGGGGCACCTCTCCGGAAACATTGATTGTTCAAATCTTCTGGCAAATGTACTAAATTTATAAAAAACGATAAATAATTATATAAAAAACACCAAAGATACAGTACATATTATCCTGACTATTTAAGTTAGTTATACAGACTTTTCCTGTGAAAAAGCCATAATTTTGAGCAATATATTACTGTACTCACTTTGTGCTCAAATGTACTGTGGGGTTTCGTGATATTTGGTTCACACTCAGGATGGGCTGGAGAAAGGAAGCTCACAATGTGCTCTCTGTATACATATTGTATTGGATGTACAATGCAGCTTGGTGCTGGGAAGGCAGCATGGTTACAAGCGTTGAGTAGAGAGAGCTGGTTGGTGAGGGTGCTCAGAGGAGGACCAACTTGTGGGTTGCCATGGCAGCCGGCTGGAGCGGAGGCCGCCAGGCAGGAGCGGAGGAGGACGTGTTGCTTGCTGGTAGCTGTGGGTAGAAAGAGTGGTCACCACGAGGTGTGGGTTGCCGGCTGGAGCAAGGGCCACCAGGCAGGAGTGGAGGAGGTGGTGTTGCTTGAAGACTGGCTGTAGATAGAAAGAGGTAGGTCACCACGAGGTGAGATCTTATATAGCGGAGGTAGGCGCGGCTTAATAGTTGACCTCCGTCATGTAAGACGGCGCTGGTTGACCTAGACCACGAGGCATACACTGAAGAATTCGCGGGGTCAGCTACTCAGCGACAAAAGCGTTTGTAGGGGAGGAATCCACTACAGTACTACACTAAAGGCCTAAAAAAAATTTTCTCTTTTGCAAAATATGTAATGTCTACCCTCAAATTATTCATTATCTTGCAAGGATTCCAGCAATGCAAGGTATATTCTGCTAAGTTTAGTCTGTGACATTTTATAAGATAAAAACTTTAAGCCTAAAACTACCTTCACCCCTGGGAAGGGGAAGGTGAGGTGAGGTGAGGTGTTGACAGCCTGGGAGGGGGGAGGGGATGAGGTGAGGTATTGTCCAGCCTGCAGGAAGATTACCCAGTGTATAGTTATCAGTCATATAGAGGGGGTTTAAGTTTTTTGCTTATAAAATGTGACTGAACTAACTTGGCAGAATTTAACTTTACATTGCTGGAATTCTTGTAAGATAGTGATTAATTTTAATATAAACATGCTATAGTTTGCACTAGACATAAAAATATTAATAATTATTTTCTACACTTGAGTGCAGTACAGGTTTGCCCCTAGGACAATTATTTCTTTTACTTTTTTCACAATATATATTTAGGATGGTGTGTGCATGTAGATGATTTAGAATAAATGAAGAAAGTTACGTAAATCTATCTACCCAAAAATGCGAGTTGAAAAACTTGTACATAAATATACTACACTAAAGGACTATAAATTTTTATCTTTCGTGCAAATTATATCAAATTATTCACTATCTTGCAAGGATTCTAGCAATGCAAGTTATATTCTGTTAAGTTTAGTCTGTGACATTTTATAAGATAAAACTGTAAGCCTAAAACTACCTTCACCCTTTATTGGGAATGCTTCTTAAGGAGGCTTTTTAGCCCAAAACCCCCAAATTTTTTGTCCGAATCTTTGGAAATCTTGATTTACCGGGTCCGGATCTTCCAGGGTTTACTGTATACAGTACTGTACAGTAATTCATTACATCTGTATAAGAACTTCCAAGAAAAAAACCTAGTAATATTAATTTTATTCTCCCATTGAAAAGTATATGTACAGTATTATGGTGTGAGGGTGTTGTCTGTCAGGTGTTCATATTTTTATTTTTATTAATTTTTTTTTAGGGGGGGGGGATTATAACTCGATATGTATTGCCACTAGGTGTAGAGCGGAATATCAATTATAAGCATTTGGCTGAAGGTTACAGTTGCAGGTCAGTGGACAAATTTGGTAACGGATGTGTTTTGTTTTGCAGTACTGTACTGTATTATTATTAGTGAGTGTGAAAGTTGGGTGGGTACAGAACTTGCCTTCTGTCCTAAGGGTTGCTTCTTCTTGCCAAGAACACCCCAGTCAACCCAGTTGTGAATGGATGCCTAACATGTCAATAAGCTCATGGAACTCCAACTTATGGGATTTGAAGGAACTGTAGGATTGGTCACCATTTGTCCTCTGTTTTCCAATACAGTACACTATTTTCATTGCACAGAACCTGCTTGGGTTTCATTTTATTTTATTTATTTATTTATTTTATATTTTTTATCAAACGATGTAAATTTATATGTACAGTATTGAAAGTATAGTGCACATTAGATGGTTTTGAGAATGACAGAATTTGTTCATCTGGTAGCCATACCATATTGTTTGAGATAGTTTTTTTTCCACTGGAGATTGTTAGAATACTGTACTGTATTTGGTGCAAGTTTTAGAGGGGAATAAGACACTAATATGCATAGATAGTTTTTGGATTAGATCATAATAGGCTCCTAGCAGACACCAGCATGGAACTTATTGTGCAAGTCATCTTAGTTTTGGAGTAGGATTATGTAACTTACAAAGATAATACTATTCATACTTTTTTTTGTTTAGGGAATGTATGAAAAGGAGGAATTTTATGAGTTGACCAACTGAATGAATAGTACTTTTCCTTTCAAACAAAATACAGTTCATTAAGAATTTGGTTTTTGCAACCAAATAAAATGTTTACCCGGTATTGTAAAATTTACCACGAATCATGATGTGGTTCTTTAAAATATCTGTGTTTCAATAGAATGATAAATGAGTACTATTGTACTAACACAGTAAGGTCTTGGTTGATGCAGGGGTTACATTCTTGAAGACCTTATGTGTATTGTTTTATGAAAATTAATTTTAATTTCTTATGTGAAGTAGGAAGTTGTGTTTCTGGATCCCATTTTTTTAAAGAAGTAAACACTTTGTAAGGTCTAAAATTTAGACCTTATATTACACAATACAATTAACTTTAGGAAAAGGCTTGAAAATAAAGCTCGATTAAAAATAAAGTAACTTCTATTAAGAGTTTGTAAAGAAATCATCTGCACTGTATTAGCAGACAACAAACTGAATGAGTACAGTATAGTTCTGTATCCAGTTATGTTTATAATCTATGTACAGTAAACGGAAACGTTTCGGTATAGAAAATGCGCGCGTCATTTGAAAAAATTTTGGGTCATGACTGCGGCGGTCGCATTTGCAGACGGTCGTAAGTGCAGATGGACGTAAGTTGAGTCAGTCGTAAGTCGGGGACTACCTGTATGTATTTCTCGTACGTATTTCGATCGTACGCCTGGCAATAGTCGCTTGGGAGCGAGTGAGTGACTACTTGATAAAGCGTCGTCTGCAGTTGTATTTCTCCTCCTTCCCTGCCATATTTTACTGGATTTACTGTTATTATTAGTGTTTACTGATATAATAGTGTTTAATGGTGATTAATCATGCCATTGTAACCAGGTTAAACTTGTCACTGTAACCACCAGCCTACTGGGCCAATCTGTGGTGTTATGGTTCTTTTTCATCTCATATTTTTGGGTAGATATATGTAACTGTCTTCATTTATTTTTACTCAGTTACATGCATACACCATCCTACAAACATATTGTGAAAAAAGGCAAAAGAAATAATTGTCCTGAGGGCAAACACATAAAGGGAACACAGGTATACTGTACATTTCTTTGCACACGAGTTAGCTGGCTGAGTGAGGGAGGGGAAGACGGTCGCAGAGTGTAGAGGGAGAGGGTGCATTGCTATGGAATTGGCGTGCCAGCTGATGTTCGTTACTGCCGTATAGTGAAACGGAGTAATATGCAAATGGTGGCTGTGTTGAACTTTCATCTGGCTTTTATTTACTGATTTGGTGATATAGTATTTTTTGTTGGTATAATATTTATTTATTCTTCACATTTCCTGGTACAATGCTGTATACAGTAGAATGTCGATTTAAAGACATTCATCTTAAGATTATTGATTTAAAGCGACACCCACAATTAAGGACAATGTTTTAATTTAAAGCGAATCTTTTACTATTTTGTGTGAGTCAATCTGGCGCATCATATTTTAAAATTCGCGCCTAACGTTTCTCTGGGCATGCTACTCTGTCCTAAGAGGAAAGCTGTACTGTACTGTACATATACTCAAAATAATTTACTAAATGATTAAAAAATTTTGTCGAGTGCAAACTGTAGCATGATTACCTGTATATTCAATTTAATCATTATCGTATAAGAATTCCAGCAATGTAAATTATATTCTCCCCAGTCACTTATGTGACATTTTATAAACAAGAAAACAAAAACTCAATCTAAAGGACACGAATAAACAAATAAATACTTCACTAGACCTCCAGCCTCAACTGTCAAACGTGTCATTGTCACCTCATCCCCCCACCATCTTTCCAGCCAGGGTTTGGTGGTTTTAGGCTTTAAGTTTTTATCTTATATAAAATATCACAGACTAAAGTTAGGAGAATATAATTTGCATTGCTAGAATCCTTGCAAGACAGCGAATAATTTGAATATAAACGTCATATATTTTTTCAAAGAGATAAAATTTTAGCCCTTTTTAATAAAAATAATAAGAACATGTCAGTTCAGTGACATTTTATAAGAGAAAAACTTAAAGTCATTCTTAAGGACAGATAAATAAATAAGCACTAGACCTTGGCATCAACTGTCAAACATATCACCTCACCTCTCCGCCCTCCCTCCATCTTTCCATCAGCTGATCGCTAGTAAACAGACCATTTCACATCCTGTAATTTTAGCTGTGTTGATTTATGAGTGTTTGTTTTAACATA